TCCGGTTTCGGTACGCAAGGCGGTTAGCCGCGTTAGCTTCTTTTCGTTCCGCTTCGTTTTGATCCCAGTTTGAGGTGAACTTTTGGGTTTCTTCGGTGCCCATACTGGATCAGAACCACAGGATGCTGGAGATCAGGCAGAAAGCCCATAGCAACACCCAGCGAACAGGTACGGAGCACCGGCAGTTCTGACGTGGTTCGACAGGGATGGCATCACTGGGAATCAGATCAGAACCTACCAGATCTGTTCGATTTATGAACCGAATAGAACCGGAACAAAAAAATCATTGTTATGGGGATTTTCCGGGGGTTTTAGGATGTAACAGAACAAATCATGAGGAACTATTTATCACCAAATTCCATCAATAAACTCATTTATTTAGGTCAGATGAATTGATTCATTCTGGAGGAATTTTTCATCAATTTATTATAGATTCTGTCGTTCCTGACCTTCATCTCTGATAAAATGTCCTTTTTGGTTTGCTCAACTTTAATAACAATAAGGATGTTTTTTCCTTCATAAATATGCCTTTATTTCTGAGTAATATTCACAGACACACATTTAAATCAATCAACAAGAATCCAGAACTCCTTTAACAATATTTAGGGACAACTTTAAATAAAAAAACTCAAAGCCTCTGAACATTTGAAAATCCTTTAACATTATTTTTTAAACAAACTCTTGCTCACAAATCTTTTTGTTTTCGTTTCTTATCTTTGTTTTATGTCTGATCCATATTTGTACTCTCCTTCTATTTTTAAATTCATTCTATTGTATATAAAGATTCAATAAAACAACTAAACTCAAATGTTTCCAACCTCCTGCTGAGAACAAGTAGATCTAAACAAACAGAATATCCTAAAGGTCAGGGGCCCAAAAACATACTGAGGTCAGGAGTCAGTCACTTCTAGGTGGGTTTGGCGATGTGCACCCCAGAAAATGTTTTTTTTTCAATATCATTATTTAAATCTGGCCATTTTCAGAGTCAGCAAAAGCAACATCTTTATGACTTTGAATAAGCTGGTTGGTGCATTTCTCTGTCCCTCTCCCTGCCAGACATTTCAGGCATTATAAATTTGTAAACTTGTTTTTTATGTCATCTTTCTTTTAAAGCTTCTATCTAAGGAGTTAGAAATGTATCAAAAAAGACATTCCATTATAACTGAAATTAGTTGCTTAATATTTACTTCAGTATGTAAACCCTATTATATTATTATGTTGATAATTGTGCCTTATTTGTTCACTCTTGTTAAGGAAAGCCAGCTTTTGAACATATTTCTATTATTATATTACACAATACCTCAAGTATCTATTATGGTTCTCCCCATTTGGGACTCTTGAGTTTCTAGTTACTCTCTGTCGCCCCCTTGTGCTTGTTTCCTTTCCCCTTGGCTTCCTTCTAGTTAGTTCCACTCACACCTGCTCCATATTCAGCTCAGTAGCCCATCCTTTGTTCTGTTCCCCTTATATATTCCACCTCTGCAGTCACTCTGTGCTGGTTCCCTGTTGTTTCCTCATCTCTGGCTCCCCACATGAGTTTTCCCCTGAAGTTTTTGGGTTCTTGATATTTTTGTTCTTTGGAGTTTTGGATTTTGTCCTCAGTTAACTGATTAAATCTTCAAGACTCACCTCTGCCTCATGATCTCATTTGGGTCCTCAAGCAACCTCACCACCCATCGCTGACAGTATCATGCAATAAACATTTGACTTTTAATTTTTATTTGTGATTTCAACACGTTGACATAAAATGTAATTAGTGGTGCAGGTTTCAGAGCAGCCCGATTTTAAAGTATGAAATAGTAAAATAACTATATATAAGTTAATGTATAAATATTAAATAAAAAAGATAAACTATGCACATTTAAGCAATCGTATAAAATTAATAAACGTAGGAGTCTACAACATTACAAGAAATGGAGCAATCTGAGGCTTTTGGAGGGATCATTATGGTGACTTAAGTTACCACAGAAATTGATTTACTATTTTGAAAATTAACCAGATGTTTTATTTTGTTTCTGAACACTACTTTCTGTCCCACACGATCTGCACTGCGCCGTCTTGCTGCGTTGAGATTCATCATCCAGCAGAAATATAAAACAGTTCCATCACTGAGAAACCGACACTGAATAAAGGTTTTATTTCCAGTTCAAGGCATCACCAACATATCAATCGCAAAATGAATTTTGATTCAACTACTGAAAATTGACTGATCGGTTCAGACATAGTTAAATAAACTTTGGTTCGGTGTTGCTTTGCTGTTTGAGTAGTTTGCTGGGTTGAAATATTTCCTCATGAAAATGCATGTTTTTCTCACTGTCATCCAGAACTTAAACTGCTTTCAACCTACATGTGCAGCTTAATATGCTCCTCTTCCAGGGACTACCTTGACTACCTGATAGAATCACTAACAGCTAACACTCAGACTCACTAACAGACTCACCAAACACTGCATCTGTAGCCTGTGGGCTAGAGACGCAGTGTTGTTTAATGGTTTGTTTAAGGGTTTTGCTGAGGAACACAGAGTGGAGGCTGTGGGGATCAAACCGGGTACTTGCAACCTTCTCAGAGCACAAGCGCACTAGGGGTGTAAATAATAATAGTTTTGTATCGATGCATCGATCCAACAGCCGACGATCCGATGCGTCGATACGTCCGCAAGAGCATCGATTTATGTTTTTTTTCCCTCCGGTCTATTTTTATCCATTTGCTACTGGACGTAATTCTCCCTCCCGTGCTGCGGTGGCGCTAAACCTATTTTGCCCTCCTACTTCGCTTCCTGGTTATACTCTTACAGCAGTGTGTTGCAGTGAGCTTGACACAGACATTTTTTAATTTATGCTCAATATTGAAGCGTGGTCTGTGCTACACGCTGTGGGTCTAGATACGGACGAGGTGGTGAGGAACTGGGGGCGAGTTTAGTCCGACGACGGAGGGACATGAGGGCCAAAAAGAGCGGAGATCCAGATGGAAAAAGGGTCCTAGCGTTCTCGTGCACCTCGCTCTTCTAGCAGGTCAAACTTCACAAGTACAACTTTTCTACTTCTGTTATTTGCTGTTGTTTCTAAAAAAAAATCCATAACGATATTACAGCTTTCATTGATTTATTCCAAATTTGAAAAAAAAATGAACCAATTAATCGAATTGAATCGTATGGTTTACTGAGTATCAAAAATAATCGAACCATTGGGTCAGTAAATCGATACTGAATCGAATCGCCATGATGGATGTGATTTACACTCCTAAAGCGCAATGCTCTAACCACTAGGCCAACACTCCCCCGCACACTATGTGCTTGTGGAAAGCGTTGTTCCCTGCTCTGCGTTTCAGATGCTGTGTTCAGTTTTGCTGGTTGTATCCTCCCAAGGACCCAATCTACCTGGAATGGGTCCTTCAAAGGCTTTAAAAACAAAGAGGCAGGAAGGATTAGCTATAGAATCAAACAGGTCCAGCCTTCCCCAGCTGTCACCATCGCTCAGCGTAAGCACTATCGCCTAGCAAATGTGACAATCGACCTGCAAAGCACGCAAAGCAAGGATGCTGAACTTCTGAATACTGTTCTGTGTGCTAATTTCGCCAAAGCGGCTTTCCGCCCTTCCCAGTGCAGTTTGCATAAGGATACTATGTAAATCAACCCTCCCGTTGCAGACACTACGCTTGGTGTGAATGCACCTTAAGAGTTCAATAATTGCGTCTTATCTAATCTATAGATCTATCACACATTGAGTAGAATATTTCAGCCCTTATTTCTTGTATTGATGATGATTCTAGTTGCAGAATAAAAACCCAAAGCCCAAGTTCTCTGACTATCAGAATCATTTAATCAATAAAAAGCTATTTTAATCAGGAATGTCTACTTCTGGAAAGTCTTTTACTTTCTAATCTCTATGATCACATTTATGATTTCTATTTTCTGTAATCTCTCCAGCATTACGTCTGAAAGGAAGGAGGAGGTTCTGATCCACCAGCAGCGTTGGGTCAGGAGAGTCAATCCCACTTTGGACAAAAAGAAACTCTACACATCTGAAGATAATGGAAGAATTGGTTAAAGCAGAACCCCTGGAGGTTAAAATTAAAGTGGAGCAACCAGAATGTGAGGAACATGAGTCCGTGCAGATAAAGGTGGAACAAGAGAACCCAGGGAATGTGCAGCTGAAAGAAGATGATGAGAATCTAGAACCTCAGCAGATGAAAGAGGAGGAACCAGAACCTCAGCTGATTAAGTTTGAACTGGAGGAACCATATTATGTTTATATACAAAGACTGGATAAATCCGGACCTTTGCAAATAAAAGAGGAGTATGATAAAGTCTCCATCAGTCAAAAGGGAGAACTGCCTGGTTCTTCAGAACAGACAGATATCTTGATGGTGAATCATGGTTTTAAGTTGGACCACAATGAAAAGGAACCAGTCACAGACCAGCTTGTCTATCAGAACTCTCCTGAACCCACGGAAGAAAGCACTGAAGAAGAATCTGGATCAAGTGGAGCTGAAGAGTTGAAACTAAATGAGGGAGGTCCAAACACTGGAGATCCCAGCAAGGAAACCTGTCAGAAAAGGGCCAAAGAGGAACATCTGTCTTCCTGTGACATCTGTGGTAAAGGTTTTGGCCACAGTTACATGAGCGTTCACATGCGGTTTCACGCTGGAGAGAAGCCCTTCTCATGTGAGACCTGTGGAAAGAGCTTCAGCCTGAAGAGTCACGTGACCCGACACATGAGGACCCACACCGGGGAGAAGCCTTTCTCATGCGAGACCTGCGGTAAAGCTTTTAATCTTCAGCGCAACCTCAGGTCCCACATGAAATCCCACACTGGGATGCTTTTCTCATGTCAGACCTGTGGGAAGAGTTTCAATCTGAAGTGTAATCTGACTTATCACATGAGAACCCACACTGGTGAGAAACCCTTTACATGTCAGACCTGCGGGAAGAGCTTCAGCCTGAAGAGTCACGTGACCCGACACATGAAGACCCACACCGAGGAGAAGCCTTTCTCATGCGAGACCTGCGGTAAAGCTTTTAATCTTCAGAGCAACCTCAGGTCCCACATGAGATCCCACACTGGGATGCTTTTCTCATGTCAGACCTGTGGGAAGAGTTTCAATCTGAAGTGTAATCTGACTTATCATATGAGAACCCACACTGGTGAGAAACCCTTTACATGTCAGACCTGCGGGAAGAGCTTCAGCGTGAAAAACAATCTGACTCGTCATGTGAGAACCCACACAGGTGAGAAGCCGTTCTCATGCCAGACCTGTGGAAAATCTTTCAACCACCAGAGTAATTTAAAGTACCACATGACAACTCACACTGAGAAGCCATCCTCATGTGATTCCAGTGGGAAAAACTTCAAATTAAAAAGCCCTTTGAGCCATCACATGAGGATCCACACAGGCGAGAAGCCATTCTCTTGTCAGAGCTGTGGAAAAAGCTTTAGTTTCAGAAGCCACCTGACTAGGCACATGGGAACGCAAAGATGTGAGAAGCCATTCACTTGTTCCACGTGTGGAAAAGGTTTCATTGTGGGTAACCATTTGGTTCATCATATGAGAATTCACACAGAGGAGAAGGTGTAACATCCATGTTGCCTCCCGCTGCAGGAGGGAACACATCGGGAACAGATCTATCAGCTGCCTGTTGACATTTAAAGGAGGTGTATTTATTCCCTTTCCCTGCGCTGCAACCCTAAAGCTACAGGAAAGGAAAGTGACACTAACTTTACTAACATTACTAACACTTTTTAATTCCACCTATCAGATTCATTTAGCCGCCTCCAACAAATACTCTGTTCGGTCATGGTAACCAGTTATGCCAGCCAGAAGCACTCCATCTAATATTATATATGTTTTAGAAAATCTAATTTTCTGGAAGGCTGGAATATTATTTGATGGATTTGCATCCGAGCAAGGTCAAAGTGTGGCTTCAAAGTCAAGCCAGGTCCGTTTAGGTCGGCTCCCTTAGAAGGTTTAGTAGATGCAGCTGTTTTCTGTGAACAAGCCAGAAAACATAGAAGCACATGGCTAAGAGTGCTTTCTGTGACAAACTAATAGAGATATCACAGCAATGAAAGCAGTAGGTGAATTTAGCAGAGTGAGGAAAGTGGTATTCATGTCCTCCAGCAGCCAAAGCCTATAGTAGCATAACTACAAAGATGCCTCATGATAACCTGAGCGACTTTACTCTTCAACTTTATCAAAAAGGAAAGTATTATATGTTTTGAAACACTGGCGATACCAGTTTCAATACCACAAGGATAAAAACAAAGACTCCAAAATTCTTCAGAAATATTTTCATTAATTTAGAATATAGAGTTATGGGAGCTGGTGGTATTATGACCACATCAGCAGCGAAGAAGGAAGGGGGAAAAAAAACATGACAGCTGATAAAATGACGGTTAAGATCAGATACATATCTGATTTAGTAGTGTATATGAAAGTGCCTTAAACCTGATTCTTTAGGATGAAAAGATTAGAAATGTGGAGTTTAGACTGCCATGTTAAAGTCAGACATGAAGTCACATATGGTCAAAAAGAGATTAAGCCTTATTTGCCTGTCGTGGTAACGTAGCCTATGTTTCACACAGAAACGATGGCTCTTGGTAGATGTTATATATTAGAATTTTTCATTATAACCAACATATTTTGGAACTAATATGAGGATTTTAGACAGAATCAACCCTGACTTCATAAGACTTCTAGATTCATAGATAAATGTGTTATGTTTAGAAAGTGGACAAGGGCATAAATTGATTAAAAACACCTACTTTTGTGTTTTATATATGAGGATGTAATTGTTTCCAGTCTGATTGGTGCTGGTTTATTAGAACCTTCATCGCCTGAAAGGTCATTTAAAGCAGCACAATTTTCGGACGCCAGGTGCCTACCTAAATCAACTTCAATCTTTGCTTTGTTTAAGTCTTCAAAAATAATCTCCCTAACTGGAAATCATTTAGTCCTGGTTTTGAAAATCCTGACAAAACAGTTACAGGGAGAGTTCCTTTACAGAAACAACTTGGTGATAATCCTGAATTTCTCTGAGAACGAAGAGGAAGATTAATGTAGAGAATCAGCCAACCGGGTTCAGAGGAGCAAAGCCGATTCCCAAACAAATTCACTTCTTTTTCTCAGACTTTGACAACTTTTATTATCACGAAATGTTGTTTTGTACAGCTTTCAGACTGTAAATGAGCAGCAGCTTAGTAGTGAAATGAACAGTTCCATTCCTTAAAGTGCCCTCAGGTTACCAGACATTAAACTGGGCCAAAACCTTTAAGTTTTAATGCTCCGAGAGACGAGATTTATAACTTTACTTGAAAAACATAAAACACATTAAACTGTATAATGACTAATTTTTGAGCCCCTGTTTATGATTTTTATTTGGTATGTTAATTGTACATCTTCTGTATTTAAACTGTGTCAATGTGGCATCAGCTGAAGTTGTTGCCTCTTATCAATGACATTCATTAATTTGGAAAACCTTTAAGCCATTTTAATTAGAGCTAGTATCTTTAATTTATTGAGGTTTCCACTTTCCCTTTGTATTTGTAGGAAGTGAACCTTTGAGTGATTGATAATGAACACTTTACTGTGTATAATTATTTTTGATCCATAAATAAAGGATTTATGGAAATATGTCTACCGCCTCTTTAAATGTTGTGGAATCAAAGTTTTTCCTTGGCCTATATTGTGTGATAAAATGTTTGAACAGAAGTAACGATAGAGAGATTCTGTTCCATTCACTATGCTGTACTGTTTAGGAGGACAGAAAGCAGGTGCCTCCCCTCCCTACTCTAGACAAGGGTGAAGGGAAGGTCATGAGAAATAAGGAGTTCATAAAGCCTCCTTCACGCTATGGTTAAAATGTATGCTCTTATCATTCTCCTGTCCTGTTTCTGGTGTGAACGGAATACAGTTGTCTGAAATGTTTATCTGAGCACATTTATGTCCTTTGATGAACGAAAGTGTTTCTCTTGGGAAGATTCAATGTTCATGTGTGTGTCTGCTGTGGATTTTTTTTAAATGTAGGGGTGTGTTTCTGAATGCACTCAGCTGTATTCAGCTGGTTTGTGCCATTCTCCTCTTCAGAGTAAAATACTCCACAATTTGGCGTCACGAGAACAGAATCCTTCGCTGATCCGTCTGCTCGGTGGATTCTAGAAGAAGGGCTAATCAACAAAACCATATGGGTTTTTCCTCTACCTCAAATAGGCCATTTTAGAGAAGGAGGACTCTTCTGATGCTCGACAGGAGGACAATAACTTCAGGAGACTGAGAGAGGAAGAAAACTAACAAACTCCTTTAAAGGTAAAAATAAAAAATATTGTTATAAAATTAAATAGGCAGTCAAAAGACTGACCAATAGTAGGTCTTAAATAGGCTGATGTTAAGTCTTTTTTAGACCGAGTTTTGAAAAAGTAGACCAAGTGTTGCAACAAAATAAAAAGAGAAAGCAATGATCCGGAGTAATTGTGAGTGCTCAAAATAAGAGAAAAAAAAAAGATAAATAAAAATATCTTATAATAGAATATAACATATGATATAATATAATATAATGATAGGAACAACTTAAGAAAATTCACTGTTGTTCTATTTACTAATGCACATCTTGCACATCTTTCTTTTCTTTTTTTTTACTCTTCTGCTTCGGCTGTTGTGGCTGCGGGTTCGTCTCCAACGACACCATTCATCACCTCCAGCCTGTATCCCAGTTTACCACAGGCCTGCTGCTCTCTGCTCGGCCTCCACCTTATCAACCGTAGCCTACAAATCCTTTTCAAAAAGAGGACGACTTTTATTACCCTGGTTCCCAGAGAACCGAACCAGAGGAGGAAGACTGTAATTTGACCTCCAACTAGACTCACAACCAGACTTTAGTATCTCTGGGGCCAACAGCGGAGAACCATCTATCACCTTTGCTCCACGGTCACTAAATAGGAACCACTATCTTAAACAGACTGCAAACAGCCCCGTATGGACCAGCTCTCCGTATGGACCATCTCTTCATTCAAAAAGAACAATTTGAGTGATTGTGATAGAAAATGTGTGCAACGGGAAAAGAAAATAACACACTGAGGCACAGCTGACTCTCTTCCAAAACTGCCACTAAACTGTTCAAACTGTTCTCCATGCAGCCCTCAGACAAGAACAGTTCTCCAAATGATGGTTGCTGCTACATCTGTGGCAAACCTGATCACTGGGCCAGAAACTGTCCACATGAAAAACATGAGGGCAGAGGAGGATGTGGCAGAGGCTTAGTTCATCATCGGGGTCCACCACCCTACCATGGAGGCGAGAGAGGACAGAGAAGCTATTCTCAGCAAGGGGGATATCAGTCACCGAAGCGAGGTCACTCTACCACTAGTGAGGGAGCCGTTGGAGCGACCCTGGTTCAACAGACTGCAAGTAACACACACACACAAAGTACATTTTAGAGACTATATTAGTTTCCTTTTTTTATGTTTTACTCCGGTGAGTTACTGGTCTCATGTTTAAATTGGTATTCCTTTTTCATCTAATAATGGATATCCAGCAACTAAAACTCCCAATAACAGTTTGGTTAGGGTTTAATTAGCTTTCTCTGATATACGGTATCCTAACATAGCAAAACTTTCTGTCTTTCTCTTATCTATAGGTACCTTTCTTTAATGATGTGCTGCGTTAGAGATCTCTGAGAATGATCTAATATAAAACAGGCCTGTTTCCTCACCTCACAATATATGACCTCTGGAGAGTTTTTTTTTTTTAATTTAATTTAATTAAATTCTTTTTTATTATTTTATATCACCTAAGGCGCCTTAGAAAAATTTGTATTGGCTCCCACTCTGGTGTTTTCCGGTCCACTTTGTCTATTTAACCATGAATGGTGGATGAGCAGGGAGACTGTAGATTTTTGTATTGCTCCAATAATTTGGTAACAAATTGGCAATAGTTACCTTTTCTTCTCCAAATTAAATGCTGTAATAACAGGACTGTCACATATTCTGCACGTTTGTGATGGTTACTACACTGCTATCCCAGCATTTCTTAAGACACTGTAGGCGATTCTAATCTGACCCCTTTCGTACCCCCACCTCGTCATACCCAAAAATAATTAATTTCATAATATTGCATTCAGTAAACAACACCTGAGGAAGTCCCACCTCATAACAGTGTTGCAAAAAATAAAATAAGGGGCCCTTTTTAAATTTCCCTAGATCTGAAATGCTTTTCCTTTCCAGATCATCACACCCATAGAACACTCTTGTTATTTTGACACATGAGAAAGCATGTGTTAAAGGGGAAAGATTTATATAAGGGTTTATATAAGCATATAAAATTTAGTAATATTATTAAAATGAATACAATGTTGCTATCATTAAATAATTCAGTTGAGTCATTCAAGCTATCTCAGTCAAGTTTTTTATTCCTTCTTTTTCTTAAATCTTTGTCATTCCTTCTGGGCTGATTTATGAGGCTGAACTATTTACTTAGCTGTCTGCCCAAAACCTGTGAACTGCAAGGCTGCTAAAGAACCTGCTGCATGCCCCCACCTTTGCTAAGATGAAACTCTTAGCTAGAGTAACTTGAGTAACGTTTGTTTTAAAAATGTAAGGAATAAAAATTACAGATACTTGTGTGAAAATATGAGTAGAAGTCAGAAGTAGGAAGAAAAATGAATAATGGAGTAAAGTATAGATACCTAAAAAGTGTACTTGAGTACAGTAACAAAGTATTTATACTTCGTTATGTGACACCTCTGGTAATAACACATTTAAGTTATATATATTACTGCTAGACTAGGTTATTTTAGTAATTGTAATTATGGTATTTAAAATATTTTTATGCTGTAAAATTATAATTTTATCATGCTTTAATATTATAATTTCTATACTTAAATTATTTGATTTGATTATAAATGTGAAATTATTCATGAAAAAATAAAAAAGATAAAACATCTAAAGAAAACTATTTGTCTTAAAAACATTTTCCTGCTTTCTCACTCCAGTCCTGTAGGGGGCAGAGCAGCCAGCTCGCTCCCAACAGTTGGAACAGAAGAACGAGCTAAAGCTATTAGCATCGTTAGCTTAGCATTTGGTGTGGAGGGATCCAGTCTGAGTCTGCGCAGCAACAATGTGTTCAGTTCAGCCTCTGAGAGAGTTTATCAGACAGAGACTAACTGTTGCTGCTGAAGAAATCTTCTCAGAGGTGGAAAGAACCATCATTCAGTACCAGGAGGAGATCAACCGTCAGAGACTGCTGGACATCAGCTGGAGACCCCGAACCGAACAGAACCAAGCAGGTAGGTGGAGCCGAGGGTCTGAATGAAGTGAAGTTGTTACACCAGCCTGTGAAGGTTACACCAGCCTCCTCATTAATATAAGAGAAAACAGAACATCTCTGTGTCTTCCTTTAAAAAATGGAAAATATCAGGATTAGCAGCCCATAAATCAGTCTCTGTAGCTTTCAAATATGGTGAACATCAGCTTCCCAAAAACATGATCAGAATCTGGACCTTCCCTGGTCCGATTTAATCGCAGCTCATATATCAGGTTAGTTGGTATTTCATCAGATCTGGAAAATTCTACACTTGCTCAGATTCGGTTCAGATGGGTCACATAATGAGTCAATAATGAGCCATGACTGATGTAAATGTATTTGATACTAAAGAAGCGTCCATCAGGAATCATCTGATTCCCATATGCCAGCTCCAGTACATTTTTTTTTCAGGGATGGAAAAATTGAAAAGCATAGTTGGATTAAGCAATAACGTTAGATTAATTTTGTTTTTATTCATGTATTTTACCATGTAAATATAATTTGATTAATATTTTACTTTTGTAAACAACATAGTATTTTTAAAAGAACCACAACAGGTTCGAAACCAGTGTCTAAATAAGAACTATCCCCACTTGGATGCAGCTGCCCTGCAGGGTTCAGACTCATCTCTTCTTTAGGTGTGTGTGTGTACCTGTCTAGCCCTCAGAGTGAGGACTATTTTTTCCGATTTTACCATCAGACTCAGGACCAGTTGTAGCAAAGTGAGGACATTTTGCTGGTCCTCACATGCTATTTTGCTAATGGTTAGCTTTAGGGCTAAGGTGTCAATTGGTTAGGGTAAGGGTTAGGATGAGGTATGCATTGGTAATGGTTAGAATTAGGATTAGTTTTAGGGTTAAGGCAAAGAAAGGGTTAAAAATGATTGAAAATCAATGGAAGACAAAGGGAGTCCACACATGGTCCTCACCATGTATAGCAGAACGAGTATGCGTGTGTGTGTGTGTGTGTGCTGGGGGTATATTAATCATGTATATATATATATATATATATATATATATATATATATATATATATATATAAAAAAGATGAGGCTAGAAAAAACTTCCCATTTAAAATATCTTTCTAATCGTGCCTAGAATAAGGCAGGTACTGTCAGTCCGAAGACATCTCTACTGGGAGAGGTTGATCAGAGCTTAATTAGATGTTTCATCTTTTTTAGGGGAATATTTGCTTTTATAAATTCATCAGATTTTAATCATTTATTAGCAAACGCTAAATTAGATAAAAATGGAAGCATTTTTATTTTACTATTACATCTACAGTACGAAGTATTGGCTATGTGAAGATGGCCCGTTACGCATTCGTTTTTTTTTTTTTAGCAATGATTAATCGCATATGCTAAATATATCCAGTGGATTTATTTGGTTAAGGTTACACATAACAGCTTATGCTACGTTCACACCGGACGCAGCAGGTGCAGCTAAATCGCGTCTGCTGCTTCATTTTTGCTGCTTGTACCAGTTAGTTCTGACGCGCGGCTGAAGCAGCTTTGGTGCTCTGGCTGCGCGGTGCAAAAGTGGCTCTGACCCACGTTGGGCGGAGCTACTCTTTCCTTTCTTTGTCTTACAGCTATATTTGCTGTGATCAGTGAGAATAAAGGAGTTTTAATATGTTTTTAAGTGGGAAAATCCACCTGAAGACTTAATCAGTGCAGTCATTTAAACCAGATTACAATCCCACCTTCTAATATTATTTCTGTTGGAGCCGCTCAGACCCCCACATACCAGCGGTGCTGTCAGTAGGAATCCCATTCAACAGCAGCCTCTGGCCGGGTCGCCTCCTCGCAGTTCACCGCGGCGGCTGGTAGGTGGTTTTCATCTAAATAATCTAAACTGCAGGCACCAGGATAATAAAAGCGAACATATTCTGTCGGCAGGTTTCAGCAATTTTAAGTTAATTTAGGCGTTAATAAAGTGTTTCAGAGGAACGATCACAGCGCTCTGTATCATCAGCGATGTGTCTGTCTCCCTGTCAGGTCCCAGATCAGCGTCTCTTATTGGTTGACGTGGCGCATCGAGCAGCAAAAGTTCACTTTTTCCATCTCCAGCAGCAGCAGCGTGTTTGCGATGCGTCACGCGCGTCAGATGCTTAAACGCTCCTGACGCGCTGCGCCTGCTGCTCAAAACGCGCTGCGGGACCTTTTCCTGCGCCTTGATGCGCGTCAACCATTGACTTTGCATGTAAACTCGCTGCCTCTGCTGCGCCTGCTGCGTCCGGTGTAAACGTAGCATTAGAACCGGACCTTCCTTGCTAAAACAGTATTTGTAGTCTGCTTCTTCACTTGCTGACGTAGCCCTTTACTGTAACAGTTTTTTCGCCACGGCGATCAGACTGTTCAAAAACTCTAATAAGTTACAAAAAGAGACTCTGCATCAAACTGATAACATTATACTTGCACTACATAGTGAATCTTCAAAAATAGAAATAAACTTAGTCTTTTCTACTGCATTTTCTACCATATCTATTTATTTATTTTGCACTGCTCTAAACCTTCTACATCAATGCCTTTTTGCACCATGTCTCTCCTACACCGTTTATGTTTTGATCACTGCTGCACTTTATTGTTCTTTTTCACTGCTTAGCTGCAGCTCAAAAAATAATTCACTATGTATACAACATGATAATAAGGTCTATCTAAGTCTATGTCATTTAGTGTGATTCATTGAGATTCATTTTGAGGTTCAGCAATATTTAGATAACAAATATTATGTTTATGTTAATTTTTTTACAGATGCTTCAAAAGATTCAAATAATAGGAATAGTGTTTAGTTTGTAGTTCCAGAATTTCAAATCAAAAAGAATCAGTGATGGAATTTCAATCTACACAGGAAAAATGTTTGGGATCATGTTGGCATTAGAATGGATTAAAGAAATTAAGAAGTTTATTTTGCTCTGATTCTAGTTCAGCTTATTTTCATTTAAACACAATCAATCAGACAGGAGACCTGATCTATTAGCAGAAATCCAGCAATTATTATTTAGAATTTAAACAATGGGATTAATTATTTATTTTATAAGATGGCTGACAGATAATCAAAACAAGCAACTAAACGTAGTTTAATTGATCTAATAATTCCATTTAGTAAAGGTGACATAATATCAGTAATTAAGAAAAGGATTTGAGCAGGATGAAGAAAGAACTTGGAAAAAAGAAAGAACTTGTAGATGCTTTTATAATGTTCAAATCAAGGAATAGAAAGGAGGTAATAGTAATATCAAGGTTATGCTTTGGCCATAAAAGTTTAAATAGCAAGTTGTTTAAAATAGGGAAACATACTACTGGAAAGTGTGATTTTTGTTTTCATGAGGAAACAGTGGAACATGTCATATTGTTTAGCACTAAATATGCAAGTGAGAGAAATGAATTGATGAATAGACTACAAACCAATAAATTAAAGTTAAACAAAAAAAAACATTTTTGACTCAGACTCTAAATCAGAGGGTTTTTCTTTGAGATATCTTAAGTCGTTTACCAACTACCATAAAACACAAGAAGAAGAAGAAGGAAGAGGAAGCATTTTTCCACCCAAAAGTAACATAAAACTCCAGCATCACTGCAATCTGGGTTTGCAGGCTTTAAGGTCACGGAAACAATCAAAGTCTGGAGCTACATTTTGACATTAGTGGGATGCTTCTTTCTAAAATTAAAACACATTTTTCTGCTTCTAATCACACTTTCGTCTTATTAGATGTCTTCTTGTCTCTTTCTTTTGCCAGTTCTCCAACAGAGCTCCTTCTCTAGTGACAGGGAGATTCTTGATGACCAGGACATGAGTTCCATCCGGGGCCAGGAGGAACCAGAACTTCCACAGATTAAAGAGGAGCAAGAAGAATCAGAACCTGAGCTGAACAAAGATGAATATGTAGAAGTTTGCATCAGTGAGGATGAAGAGGAGATTTTACTGAAGGATGAGGAGAGTGATGCCTTCATAGTGACTGTCACTCAAGAGGACACAGACTATGATGAACCAGAACCAAAACAGGGTCAGGTCCACACTCCATGCTCTCCTGAAGCTGCAAAGCAGGATCAGGGAGGAGGTGACGACATGGAAGACCTAATAGCAACAAAGGAACATGATGAACACAGTGTAGGAATGTCTTCAGCTTTGCAGGCAGCCTCTGGTACTAACCCAGATAAAAGGTCAGTCCAATGTGACATATGTGGAAAAAGTTTCACTCAGAGTTACAACATGAGAGCTCACCGCAGGATCCACACAGGTGAGAGGCCTTTCTCCTGTCAGGTCTGCGGCAAAAACTTTATCAAGTATGACAACCTGCTGGTGCACATAAGGACCCACACTGGACAGAAACCCTACTCCTGTCTGACTTGTAGTAAACGCTTCAGCCAGCGAAGCAACCTGACCTTTCACATGAGGATCCACGCAGGCGAGAAGCCTTTCACCTGTAACACCTGTGGGAAGAGCTTCACCTCCAGCGGACATCTGACCATCCACACGAGAACCCACACAGGGGAGAAGCCCTACCTGTGCAACGTCTGTGGAAAATGTTTCAGTCAGAGCGGTGGCCTGTCAGCCCACAGGCGCACCCACACAGGCGAGAGGCCGTTTACCTGCAAGGTGTGCGGCAAAGGTTTCATCAGGAGCGACGAGTTGTTGGTCCACATCAGAATTCACACCGGTGAGAAACCTTACACCTGTTCCATCTGTACCAGGAGCTTCGCTCGGAGCTGCCATCTCACAACACACATGAGAACGCACACAGGGGAGAAGCCATATTCCTGCAAGATGTGTGGAAAGAGTTTTAGCGAAAACCGCAGTTTAACCGCCCACATCAGAACCCATACTGGCGAAAGGCCGTTTTCCTGCGACAGATGCGACAAGGCCTTCACAGACAAACGCAACCTGGCCACCCACATCAGGACCCACACCGGTGAGAAGCCGTTCTCCTGCTGCATCTGCGGGAGGAGTTTCTCAGAAAATCGGACGTTAACGGCGCACATGGTGACGCACACGGGAGAGCGGCCATATTCCTGCAGCTTCTGCAAAAAAAGCTTCACTCAGAGCAGCAAGCTGGCCGTACACATGAGAGATCATAGTGAGCAGAACCTTTAGACCAACACATCAGATGTACCATTAGGCTGACAGCTAAGAACGAAATAGGTAGAACCTGTAAAACCGTCGAGGTGCTAACGTCTCTGTTAAACACTTTAAAAAACTCTGAAAATGGAATACGAAAGGTGGATTCTTGATTCTCGACGTCGGAGTACACAGAGTGAAGCGAAAAGACTACAACTGTGTAAACAGGCCCCATTTCCGTTTCCGGTGGCAGAGGAATATTGACTATTCCAACAGAACTCAATGGGATTTACAAAATGCTAAATAAAACACTACAGGAACGTTTTTTCTTCACGAAACTTTTTTTGGAACGTCATTGAACAGCGCTGACGACCCGGTGAGTAGCATATTTAAAAAAAAGAACGTTTAAGGTTGTTTTAAGGACATTATCGGACATGCTCTATGGAAGCCATTCTAAAGCAGCCAGGGGTGGATTCTAAATGAGCCAAAAAGCAGAGACAGGAGCAATTGTCAAAATTTTGGTGTTGATCATTCGATTTCATCCTGGACACTACAGAAAATGGGCTAAAAGTGTTAAAAACCGAACTTCTCCTTTAAAGCCAACAGATACGATTTCAATAGGGAGAACTTTTAAACTGACACATAGCATCAGATTGAGGAAAACATTTCAAAATGGAAATTAAATGGTTGACCAAAATAACATTGTGTCTATTATTATCAATAATCATATTACAAATGTGAAACAAATTAACTTAGATGATAAAACGAAGCATTGTTTTATAATTTTTTGGCAATGGTGCCGCCATGTATCATGTAAAACTGTAACTAGAGCGTGTAACTAGAGCGTGTAACAAAAGTAATTTCCCTCTGGGATTATTAAAGTATTTCTGATTCTGATTCTGATTCTGATTCTGATGTTGCAGTACTCCAAGCGGTGATGTCACAGGGTTGGTTCGCTCTGTATCCTCCAGTCTATCTGTTGTCAGGAGGCTGACCTGGACCACGTACTGCAGGGGAGGTTGTTCATTAACAATGTTTGCATGTTTAGATTGCTGTGCCGAGAGATGAAAGTTTTGGAGGTGGCCATGCTGACCCTGAAGGACGCCGGAACCGAGAGACTGGAGCGACCGGTGAGGGAGAGCATAGACCCTATGATAACCTGACTGCCTCTTGTGGAAATGGAATCATGATAAGAGGTAGACCATTGCTCTGGAGGGACCGTGTGCTGCAGAGCTGTGTTCATGTTGATGGCTGCTGATGAGGTATAAAAGAAGTTTAATAAGAGGCTCGATTGGTTTAAAGACAGAGAACTAAGCTCTAGTGATGGACCTTTGGTGTGGAGTAACCCCAAGATTCCACATCCTCCATCAGCGCTCCGCTCTGCTGCCCTCACGTATGTCCTGTGGAGCACAGTCATGTCAATCAATGCGAACTGTTCCACATCCACTGCTACGCCTCTGCACGTCACTGTACGTCTTATAGCCGAGCTATTTTTAGCTTCACTTCGGTCCGCTGGAGGTCAAGGTCCGCAAATGCAATCACACCAAAAAGGAAAAAGAAATTCGAGAAGATCTGGTTTGTCAAATTAAAACATAGTAACAACAGATCAGTAACTACAAATTAGAGCATAATGCTACAGTCAGACCACATACAGCAGAATCATAAAAAATGCACATACTGCATAATTTTTTATGCTTGTACAAGCTTAGTTCTGACGTGGGGCTGAAGCATCATGATTTTCGGTCCTGGCATTTTTCCATCTACACCGACCCACTTATGGACAGGCGGGGGGGAAGCATATCGGTGTCTATGCTCAACATAGCGGCACTGTTGCCAAACAATTATAAAACAATTTTACATTTTTTAAATGTTGATATTTTTTCATGTTTGTAATAGATTGATTAATGATAGAAAGACACAATATAATGAATTAAGTTTGGTTAACCATTTCATTTCCACTTTAAATCTTGGGACCAACAGAGAAGAGCATAATGGCGAAGACCTTCAGAACTTCGAACTCAATACTTTTCCTGACACTTTGAATTGAAAAAGCCTCCTGGATGGGAAGCGAAACGTCTTCAAACTTGGAAACAAAGTCCAGAGGTTTGTTTTTAATTTTATTTTCCGGAATGACTATGACCTGGATGACTGAGAATCTTCACCAACCTTTAGAACCTTAAGGCTGGTGAATGACATCACAATGGGGAGAACATTTGGAACCTTAATGCTGAAACATAAGATCAACGCTGCTTTGCAGATAGAGAATGAAAAATGTATTGGATCGAAATTATGGAAACCTTACAATTCAACATTTCAAAATGATGGTGATTTAAATAAACATTTTGCAAATGGGGAAGATTTGTTTTTCCCTTAAGGACAAAGTTGATAAATTCATGGCAGCATTTTGTGGACTTTGTTGTTGTTCCACTTTGTCTCCCTTTCTCTGTGGTATGAGGAAACATCAAACATGTTTGACTACATTATATATTACATATTATATTACATTTTTTTGGTTCTGTTCTCTTTTAAATGTTTTTGTAATATTATTTATTTTTTGTTTTTTAGGTTGTTGTTTCCATTTATCTATGAATAAAAATGTGCTTAAGCTCTATGGCTGAGCTGTCTCATTGCATCATGGTTAATGTAGTTTAGAGCAACCTGAGGGCGTAGCAGAGACATTTTTTCGATCAGGACAGCTTATTTGCTCAAATATTATCTGTACCTGTGCAGAAGCTTCAAAGTTCATATTTTCACTTGTTCAACTTTGTAGAAAAAGACATCCAGATGCAGCTCCCAGTTCTCTACAGATCTGCATGTCAGCTCCATCCGACTGGGAGGTTTGTATGATTATTCACGAATCAACTCATAAATGATGCTGTTGTCTCTGTTTCAAGAATCGATGCAGGTCAGTCTGTAAATACGCTGGGAGTTTTGTCTCTAACCCAAAGACTGATGATCTCACTGAATACTTGGCGTCCAAACCCAGGTACCTTTGCTAATCTGAACAAGATATTGTGGAGAACATTTGTAGAACCAGTGTGTTTGTCTTCTTTGTGCTGTGTTAAAGGTACAGTGTGTAATAAGTACAGGGATTTACTGACATAAATGTTATATATAACTTATATGTATGTCGTTTATCACCTATGAACTGAAAGTTTCAATATTGATGTTTTCCTTGCCTTAGAAATTGATATTTATAGTTACATTTATAATTATAGGAGTCAGTTTGTATGTGTAGAGGCAGACATCTTTTGCGCTGCGGCAGCGCAGAGCTGCCAAACTAGTGACTTTAGAGTTCACCTTTAAATAGAATAGAATGCAAAACTGAGTTTACATTGTCATACACCTCCTGTCTCTGCAAATCTCACAATTCTAAACCTTAACCATAAAATGGGCGGATCCAAACGAAGCACCGAATTGACGTCAATTCGGGGATGTTGTCTTATTTCGTTCTAGCCTGTACTTTTGTCACGCCCCAGGGGGTGCTGCTTGTCCGCTGACTGGACCGAACCGGGCCCCAGCAAGGGACGGAGCGACCAAATCCGACCCGGTGACGGTTTGTGCCTTACCAGGTAGGCGGGGGGAAGCACCGGGCCGCCGTAGTCCAAGCTACCGTCACCGGGTCGCTCCATCCCTCGCTGGCTCCCTGTTTGGACTACAGGCTGCACTGTAGTCAACGAAAATCCTGGACTATTTTGAAATTCCCCACGGATATTTTTTTCGGTATGAAAAGTAGGACATGTCCGTGAAAAAGAGGACGTTTGGTCATCCTACCATATCAGCAATTTGATGTTTCAGTTAGTGCTTGTTGCAATGATGCGTCTTTGCTCAGCAGCTTCGCTCGTTGTAAACCAACCAATCAGCGCACAGCTCATCTAAATATTCATGAGCATACCGTAAAAAGAAGAAAAATCTGTTGTTTCATTGTGAGGCTTATAACCAGCTTTAATTAGGACTCATAGAACAACAAATATGCCATTTTCAGCCAGACCAATGTTAAACACCCTATTCAGAGACCTTAAGGACCAGGACCAAATTTAAAAATTTTTTTTCTGCCCTCAGTTCATTGTGTTTTTTTGAGTCAGAGGGCCCCAAAAAAGGGGACGGGTCACCTGGACAACAGAGGTAAAATATGAGACAGGTAACCAACTTAATTTATTGGGTTTGGTGCATTTAGTGTTTTGATCAGCAGGGGGCACTACAAGCCTGAAAATGATCATATCAGCCATACTAAAACATTTCTATCATTTCAGGATTTTTACATTTATTTTATCTTTCTTGTATTACCCATTAATATTCAATCAGAAAAGTCACCATCTTCTTTGAAGGAAGTCCATCAGTGTGTTAGAACAGGACGTGTTGAATGGAAGTCATATTTCCCAGTTCGAATAATCACTTAGAGTTCAAACATTTTGTGCTTTTAATCCTTAATGGTCTCAAAAATTACTCTTTACTGGCTAAATAAAGAAGTGATAAAATATTGGCTTTAAAGATTAGTTTTTTTAATAAGTTAAATTTTCTTTATGAAAAAGAAGAATCTTCTGAAACAGTAGCAGAAACTTCATCCCTCCTGGAGATAAAGACATTTCCTCATGGTTTTAAACTCCAGAGTTTAATGTTAACACATCTGGCACCTCCTTGGACTAAGCTCCTCCATTTATCCTAACAGCTCCTTGAGGAGCTACATTATAAGGAAGAAGGTATATGAATTTTCTTTGTGTGTGTCTGCCCAACTTTTTATTAAGGACACTTCCTGATGAGAAGATCCAACTCAGCTTACTCTTTAAGTTATCACTGGATGATGGAGCTGCTCTACTTATTTTATGGGATACACAGCCATAGATCTCAAGCTTATTTAAAGGTTGGAACATAAATTGAGCATCTTAGTACAGGAATTGACTGTGGGGCCTGCTTCTGCACCAGAGACCAGGGGATGCTTGGTTGCATCTGTCGGTCTCATTTTCCTTTCTGCCATTGGGACTGGAACCTCTTCTGTTAACAATAATATAAGATCTAGAAGGTCTGTTCCACCTACTGGTTCAGAACCATGCTCTCACAATCAGAGGTACTGACTGTAGGGATATTAAACTTGAAACAATAAAAGATCGAACAACGAATGTCTTAATCCCTCTTAAATCGGTTTGGGGAAATTGATTATTCACTAAATGAACTTATTAAATCTGGATGTATTTTAAATATTGTGTCATGTTAATAAGCTCTTTTAAAAACAGAAAAGATCCAACTTGTTTTTATGTACGCTTTATTTTGAAAGGTCTCCGCGGAAGTGACGCCTCCTTCTTTAATCCTTGTCCACCAAGCCTACCTCCAGTGAGCCGCACGAACCGAACCCAAGTCTGTCGTTTCTGTGAAGCATGGGGCCGACAGGTGAGTGGTTGCATGCCGGCTTTACGCCGCCAGCCGTGGTTTGCGGTAAAATGTCCACTTTTCAGCGGGGAGTTCTGCGGAGCGGCTTCTGGCGGCGTGAGCTAACCGGCAATTAGCATGCTGCTAACACCTGAGACAGATGGTGTGAGCTCACCTGCAGCACGCTGCTTCTGTCCAGGTGATGCTTCTGAGCGGAGCTAGTAGGAGATAACTGCTTTTTGATACGATGTAGTTTCCGGTCACATTTTATCTATACGTTCAGGTCTATGTAGCATGTTGCTAACATATGGAGCTAAGTGACTGAGTCCCAACCCATGTCTAAAGCTGTCAGATTATGATTAACTGATCCGGATAAACTGGAGGTTTGAGCAATTGTTCATTATATCAGGGATTATCTATAGTTACAACCTAAATATGAGTGAAAACCGGTTTTGGTCCGTGTCTTCTGCTCCTGAATGAATTAATCTCCATGTAAAACAATAAGTGAGAAAAAAGATTATCAGTAATTTGGTCCACCCAGGCTTCCTTAGATTATGTTTTATACAGTCAAAGGAAATACTTATAAACTTAAACCTGATTTTTGTCTATTTTTACATCCTGGTTTACAGTCTGCCCTCTTTCAGTGTTTGTACAATTTATACATTATTTGGGTATTTGTTTTATAAACTAAACAGGGAAAAGATGCAAAGCTAAAATTATTTTCTCCTAGATTAATTCAAATAACCCTTAAAACATATCACTTGTTTTCACTTGTTTTCCCAGCTAGTGGCTCCTCTGTCATGTTGGTGATTTTTATGTAGTTTGTTTTAAATTTTGGATTAATTGCTTTCCGTGACCCAACCATGGTGTATCCAGGGTTTGGACCATCACTAAGACCTTCAGACAGGATTTTATTTTATTCATGTTCTCGCAAAAATTTTTATTAATTGCAAAAAAAATTGCAATAGCAGTGTCTTGTAGAGTTTGGCCTTCTAGACTCTGATCTGCAGTCATGTGACTCAGGTGTCATTCATTTTGTCCACTATAAGCCTTTGTTTTCTGGGGCCACGCATACCTTTACGCCTACCAGGCTTTGTCCTGGCAGACTGGCCTCGGGTCAAAGGTCAGCCCCAGTGTTACATCACTGGTCTTTTGTTGTGTTTTGGACACACAGGTGGTAAATACTGAACCCAGAAGTTAAGAGAGAGAAAAAAAAAACAGCTGAGAAAGAGAATATGTACCGTAACCAGGTGGCAAAACTTTTACACCCACGCGTCTTTTTTTTTTTGTCCCAGTTCAGTTTTTCATGTTCTTATGTCCTGTGTCAGATGTACAACAACGATTTTACAAGCTCCTCATTTAATGATTTTTAGCTGACACTTTTTTTTACATCAATAATTTTTTATATGTTTTGAATCGTGTAAATAAAGTGTTGTTATAAGTCAAAGTGTTTCAGGTCAAACAAATTAAAATGTCATCTTAAGTTTTATTCTGATGTGCAAATAATCCAAGAATCTAAAGAAGAGCCAAAGTATGTAAACAACACTTTTCTTTAGTGTTTCTTTGGTGCCATGCTGAATTAGTGTCTAGATTTTTTTGACTACCCAGATAATAATAAATGTATGGATATTGTATGGTTTCCTCTTAAGGTTTGCTGTAAGTAAGTTATTCTTTCAGTTAATGATATATTTAAGGTTATAGAATCTGTGTTTATTACTTCGGGTCAGAGGTTTTCAAACCTTTCAGCTTCTGGCCCACAAATTGGTACCAGAATCGTTTCATGCCCCAAATTATTGGTTGACTGTACATTTCTACAAGATTAATTAACAAGGGAGGTAATAATATCGCAAACAGCATCAATATAAAATGTAGTTGCTTTTATACATTTGTAGTTGATGCTTAGATAAATGTGAAGCGTTTGGTTTCTGAAGTGGATTTTGAGATCTCAGACTGGTTGATTGAGGAATCTGTGTGGTCATGTCCCCGACTTTGTGGTTGGTGCTTTCTATTACCAAGCTGGTTGATGATTGAGTTATTTAATCCTTTCAGCTCTAAATTATAAAACTATTATAGATGCTGAGAGGAAGAATCTTCTGTAGAGGCCAGGATTACAGTACAGCTGATGACTCCTCTGACTGAGGACAATTTGGCTTTTGATGATATCTGATGTTGGTGTTTGTTTGATCAGAGTGGATAAAACAGGAGAAGTCTTTATGGATGTTGATATTTTTCCTCTGCTCTGTCCTCTATCTTGTCCCAGGTGAAGTGGTGCTTGGCAGCCCAATGTCGGTCCGCCCAGAGAACCAGCTCCGCTGGGACCTGGGCCCCGAGCAGATCCAGCAGCTGGCCGACGAGCTCATGGGAAACACGAAGAAGGTTTATGACCGCGTGGGAGAGCTGGACCTGGATGCCGTCACCATGGAGAACACCCTAAAGGCGCTGGCGGACGTAGAGGTGGAGTACACAGGTGAGCGTTGCTCAAGCTGCATGCCAACTTCCTGTCCCAGAGTAACAGACTTCCTGTTTGATGAGACGGAGAGGTCAGAGTCTACAAACAGACGTCAGATCAATTACAAAATCTTTGACTCTATTTTCTAAATTTTACTGAGTCGTTTTTAGACAGACATTATTGAATGTCCAGAATTTAGGAGAAACCTTCACTACAGATCATTTAGTCATCAACGGAGAACCTGGCAAACATCTGATTTGGAGGGAAACATTAGACCTTCAGTCCATCCAGAGGTTTTCTCTCAGGTCTAAACATCTCTCAGGTGGACTCAGGTTTACTCAAAGCTGAAGGAGGGTTCTCATCATCTCAGTCAGTCTCAGTGGCTGTTAGAAACCTTGGAGCAGCAGAAGTTCTGCTGATCTGTCCTGAGTCTGAGATCTGAGGCCTTCACTGCTCGCTGGGATGTTTTCACCAGGATCCACCAGAGGAGGAGCTGCAGCAGAGACCTGGGAGGGTCTCAACTCTGAAGACACAGAACAGCTGAAGCAGTGGTTTCTGTTATTGAGACCGAAACCAGCTTCAGGGGAGAATAGTGGACCACACATCATGTGAAAATGACTCCAAATATTCTGGACTGAAGGTTTACATCCACAGAGACTGCAGAACAGTTCTGATCTTCCTGCAGCTGCCTAAATGTAGCGAGGGAGTCAGCGGCAGCTGCTTCTTTTGTCTCTGAGCTGAAGCTGAATCAGCACAGTCCGCTGTGTGCAGCCGTTCAAATCCCATCAGCAGTTTTAACACAAAGCGGCTGCAGCATCTTTGTTCTCCCTGAAAGCAGCTGTAGAGCCAGCCCAGCCTCCTGATTATTTATCATACATTTATCATCTGCTCACCGATTGGTCGCCTCCTTGTGAGCCAGTTATCATTTGCTCTGATTAGTCAGATGAAACACCATGCAAACATTTTGAGTCAAGCTCCAAAGTATCAACAGATGGCGCCGTCTGAATCCAACAGACACTGTACAAGTACCACAGAAATGTTATTTTCACATTTAAACCACTGATATCCTGGTTTAGAAATGCCTCTTTGAAGGAGTGGACCCGTTGCCACGGTTATTTGAACAACTGGTGGAGCCTCATTACAGGTTTCCTTAGACCAATACTGATACAGATTATTTTGACATCGATCTAATCAATATTCTTTTCCCCCCTCTCTTTACATGACAAAAATGACACAATTCCAACAAAAATGATAAATAAAATAGAAAACATTAACCAATATCAAATGGAACAAGCGGCTTTACTAATTTATTGTCAACTGTCAATTCTTTTATCTCTTAAGTCACTTCAGCCTTTGCCCAAACCTGAAAGGCTCGATTCTACTAAAGAGATGCAGGAACAGCTCGGCTCATTCCTCCTTTCTTTCCTTTAGATGGATCTCTCCACAGTGCCGCATGAGTAGAACATCAGTAGGTTAATAACCTGCAAACAGAGGAGATAACATCACAAACAACTACGAATCATTCGATTTTAAACATTTAACTATTTTTTTTAGTCTATGCTTTTCATAATTTTCCTCCATCTTAACAGTGAATGAAAATAGGTAAAAAAAAAAAAAACTATTTTACAAAGCATGTAGACTAATATTTATTCAAATATTCATTTGCTTAAATTGAAAGCTTTCTCAATTAAATGTGAATAATTTCCATTTCCTACCAGTGATGCCTTTGGAGAAGCTCTCAGCTGAAGTTCTTTCTCTGAATAGTTCTCAGTGTGAGAGCACAGCTGAACAGGAATACCTGATAGTTTGGCCCGCTGAGATTCAGTAGTGAAACGGATGGATGCACTTGATTCTCTGTAAAGTGATCTCCAGAGATGTGGAGATAGTAAAACATTCAACCCTGTCAAATTTGTTGGTTTAACTTGACACCTTGTGTGACTTCAAGGCATGGCTGCTAAATTCACTGAATCGGTGAACGCATGCAGGTAGGAGGCGATAACGATACAAGAAAGAAGTGAAGGAAACAGAAATTACAGCAAAATGGGACCAATGAACAAAAGGTGAGGAGTCAGATGAGCGCACAGTTTCTGCATCTGGGTTTGTTGGTGCATCATAGGTTTCATATTTTCTCCTAACTGCCAACTTCTTTCATGGGAGCTGAACTCTTTGAAACAAGAGGCTTCAGGTTCGTGCTCAGGAGGTTGAAATAGATTAGAAATGAAAGTCTTATTTACCTAAGAACTGATGTTCAAATCTCTGTGTTTAACTATCGATCAGAGGCTGGAATCTGTCTGGGTTTCCTTCACTAAGCTATTAAATCCTCCTATAACCTTCTTAAGCTAGAGGAGCAGTTTTTCTGATCCTGGCTGATTTCTTTCATCACTAACGTGGTCTGGTATGATGAGGTCACGGTTAACCTTCACTGGTCCACCTTTATTCTATTAAAAACAAACAGTAAAATTATCATTTATAGAAGTATCGGTTTATACTTCTATAAATATATTATAATCTATAAAATATATCTATAAATATTTATAGAAGTATCGCTCAATTGGTCGAGGTTAAAACCAGATCAGTGTTGGTTTTCTGTTTGGACCGTCTCTTTGTAGTCTCGATGATGATACCTGGAGAGCAGAACTTCCTCTCAGGTTCTGTTAAAGATTCACCATGTCTAGTTTTCATGATTTGAAGTTAGTGAGCCCCTCCCACTCATGTGAATCCACTCTCTGTGTCTCAGTCAAGCGGAACATGTTGGACTTCCCTCAACACGTGTCTCCCTCTAAGGAGGTCCGGGCGGCCAGCACCGAGGCCGATAAGCGGCTCTCTGAGTTCGATGTGGAGATGAGCATGAGGGAGGACGTCTATCAGAGGATCGTCGCCCTGGAGGTGAGCTGATGTCACTGCACGCAGACTGTGCTCAGTGGGCGGGCCCGCTGTTCCTTGACTGATTTGTCATTTTATTAAAGTCCTCAGATGTTCTTCACTAACTCCAGTCTCTGGTAGACTTTTTCACTTCCTGGTCAGGTCCATCCCACTCATGTTTTGGTTGTAGATGATTCTGATGGATCTGGTTTGTTGGGCTTTGTTACATCAGCATCTGTTGTTCTGTCTGAACTGCAGCAAAAATCTACATCGCCGAGTTAGAACTCCTTGGCTGTGTCCTTGGAAGGCTGGATTTGTCTGCCGATTACGTCATAGCGCAGCGCCTGTTTGGAGTTGAAGACTCCTCGTTATGCGGCCGACCAATGCAGCCTTCTTTTTGCCTGTTTTAAAGGACAGATCCAGTGTTTCCTCTGTAGCCTTGAGGATCCCGTGATTCATTACAAGTCCAAGCAAACTGGCTGCTCCATGCCAAACATTAGTGAATATTGTGCAGTTTAATATAATAAAAGCACAGAATTCAATATCTGTGCAATGTGGAGACTATCAACCTAATATCTGTGATCACAGTACTTCTGCTGAAACTCCACAAAAATGAAATTCACACACAGAACAGTAGTGAGAAGTTTGGCATCCATTTTTTGCCTGCTTTGTGTGTCAACTCATGGATGCTAGGCAATAGTATATGCGCAGTGAAAGCCGGCGAAGGGTGGACCTGTTTGAATCCATAGCCCAAATTCTTCCGGACTCCTTTTCACAGACCTCAGCCCCTGAAATCAAACACCCCCCATGCTTCTTCCCTTGACGCCTCAGGTCTTCATACTGTTGCTTGTGGTCATGTGACTGACTGGTGTCTTTCCATTGGTTGATTAAGCAGCAACAGGCTTTAATTGGCTGCTGAGCCGCCTTAGTGTGATGATGTTTGTGTTCCTCTCTGCAGAAGAAGATCGACACTGAAAGTATCCCTCCGGAGGCCAAACGCTACATGGAGCGGGTGATCAAGCTGGGGAGGAGGAACGGCCTGCACCTGCCCAAGGAGACCCAACAGGTGGCGCTGTTTTCTCCTTAAAATTCTCCCACAGCTAGAAGGTCCTCCTGCTGCCTCAGGCTGAACCAGACCTGATCAAACCTTCTTTTTCCCCTGAGAATTGAAGATGTTTTTTTTTTTTGGATCGCCAGAGTTCTGCTGAAGTTCTGTGAACATTTCATGAAGCGTTGAAGCTGTTGATAAAATCAGAAGCTTTATCATCTTGTTTTTGTTTATTGTATTTATCTCTGGGTTCTTATCCTGCTGGTTCCTGTTGTTTATCTGGAACCTCAAGGCTCTAAAGGGAAAACATTTACCAGAACATTTTATTTTAATAAAAGAACCACATAGATCCAGTTCATCTTTTCCTCCTCCAAGAACCCATTAATTCAGCAGAAACAGATGTACTTTCTCTGTTAGAACTTTTGAAGGTTCATATTTTAGCCAGTTTCACACTGGCTTGCTATGACGCGCCGAGCAGCTAACGCTGTACCTGTTGATCGCGTGTAAATCTGATCCCAAAGATCTCCTTGTAGTAAAAAAGTTGTTGCAGCCAGATGAACCATTTGTGAAGAAAATCATTTATTCCATGATGCACGGCCGCAGGGATAACAATGACTCCTACACAGCGATGAAAAACTTGTATGCACTTCCGGATTCAACACCCGTCAACTAACGATCATCTCTTGGTTTATAACCCGGAGCTGACAGCCCCATCTAGTGATCACAAAAAAAAAAAAAGAAAAAAAAAAAAATACACATATTTGGCTCCAATAGTTCATCTGCTTCTCCTAGACTCAACATTAATTTTCAGCTCTGAGGTGAGAGAAGATAGAATCTGAAACTGTCTGTTTGGGTCAGTTCCCTGAATCAGACCTAGAACACTGCTATGGTTCTTCTTCTCGCAACCTGAACTAACACCTCTATTCTTCTGCTCAACCAGGAGATTAAAAGCATCAAGAAGAAGCTGAGCAACCTCTGTATCGACTTCAACAAGAACCTGAACGAGGATACTACCAGCCTGTCCTTCACCAGGGAGCAGCTGGGTGAGTCAGACTCGGTTCTTAGCAAAAGTTCTGTAATCAGAAGGATCTCCCAGTCTGCTAAACTGGTTCTGATAAACAGGTGGGCTCCCAGAGGACTTCCTGAACTCTCTGGAGAAGGATGGAGACAATCTAAAGATCACTCTGAAGTATCCTCATTACTTCCCAACCATGAAGAAATGCTTCATTCCAGAAACCCGTAAGAAGCTGGAGGAGGCCTTCAACTCCCGCTGCAAAGAGGTAAGCAGGAATTGGTGCACGTCATCAGAACTTGGGTCTGGATCGGGAGGTTTGAGCAGAACTGTTCTTAATGCGATGAGTTTTAATGGTGTCATGGTTTAAAGTGACTTCAGCAGCTGAAACTGTGTGTTTTTAGGAGAATTCTGTGATCCTAAAGGAGCTGGTGAAGCTCCGCGCTCAGAAGAGCTCTTTGCTGGGCTTCAGCACCCACGCAGACTTTGTTCTGGAGATGAACATGGCCAAATCTGGCAAGAAGGTGGCCAGCTTCCTGGGTGAGTCCTGCAGAACAACACAGCTGGAAGAACATCCAGATGTGTTTCAGTTGGTGGCTGAGAACAAAACCTGGTCAAAGCAGCCCGGAAATCTAACCCCAGTGCTGCCTTGGTTTCCCCTTCCTTCTTCAAACCAGTCCCGACTTTTTAGATAGACCAGTAAAAAAGCCATGTTTGATTCACTTCGCTGCTGCTTTGTTTCTAACCATCCCCTCTCACCTTTCCCCTCTTACCTATCCCGTCCGACTCGTCTTCTCCGACTCATCTTCACTGACTCTTTCCTTCAGATCGTCCCCTCTGACTTGTCTTCTCAGATTCGTTCTCTCGACTTGTCCTCTCTGACTCGTCCTCGCTGTGTTTCAGAGGAGTTGGCCCGGAAGCTGAAGCCTCTGGGTGAGGAAGAGCGAGCAGTCATCCTCAAACTGAAGGAGAAGGAGTGTGAGAAGAGAGGCCTTCCATTTGACGGACAGCTGCATGCCTGGGACACGCGCTACTTCATGACTCAGGTAAGGAGCGTTTCCTAACTGGGCTCATGGTGGCATCTCCCTGTTCCTGGAGGTTTTGAATCCTCGGCTACATTATTCCTCAGGTGGAGGAGACCCAGTATGCTGTGGACCAGAACCTGCTGAAGGAGTACTTCCCCATGGAGGTGGTGACTCAGGGTCTGCTGGACATCTACCAGGAGCTGCTGGGGCTGAGCTTCCAGCTGGTGGATAAAGCGCCCGTCTGGCATCCTGACGTCACTCTGTACTCTGTGAAGGACCGTAAGAGTGGTCATGTGGTGGGACAGTTCTACCTGGACCTTTACCCCAGGTCAGAACCAGAACCATGTCTCAAACGTAGCTTCAGTATGTTCCCATATTTCAGTTAAAGTTTTGGTCCACAGCTTCTCTGATAGTTCTGCAACTTTGGATCAGAGCTCAAGAGTCCGTCTGACTAATAATTCTTAGTGAGCTGTTTTATCCTGAGCAGAACCAGAACCTTTATATGTTGGGTCAGGGTTAAATTGGCGGTGTCTCCCTGCAGGGAGGGGAAATACGGTCACGCCGCCTGCTTCGGCCTGCAGCCCGGCTGCCTGCTGCCTGACGGAACGCGCCAGATGTCGGTGGCAGCCATGGTGGCCAACTTCAGCAAGCCGACGGCCGACGCCCCGTCCCTCCTTCAGCACGATGAGGTTGAGACCTACTTCCACGAGTTCGGCCACGTTATGCATCAGCTCTGTGCTCAGGTGGGCTTAAAGCGGTGCAGTCAGACGCGCTGAGATAACTGAGAGGGCCGACTGCTGAGGATGGGTTCTGGTGTGTCTGCAGGCCGACTACGCCATGTTCAGTGGGACCCACGTGGAGCGAGACTTCGTGGAGGCGCCATCTCAGATGCTGGAGAACTGGGTCTGGGAGAAGGAGCCGCTGCAGAGGATGTCCAAACATTACAAGACGGGAAAACCCATCCCAGAGGAACTGCTGGACAAACTCATCAAGTCCCGGCTCGCCAATACTGGTGCGTATTAGAGCGGTAGCGCTGTGGTTCTGATCCAACCACAGAATAGGAGACCAGAAAGGATAAAAGTCTTTAATTTGGGTCCTCTGGTGTTGAATAGAACTTCCATCACATTCAGTCCAGTTCCCCAAACATCTACTCTGTTCCTGAGCTGCTCTGGATCATCAGCTGGGCCAAAATCAGACTAGATGAAAGCTCTAAAATAATGAAAAATAACCGTAGAAGTTCTGTCATCTGGTCTAGTTCTGCCACGATTAGTCGACTTATCAGACTAATCGAAAAATTTGTTGACTGATTTTTTTTCGTTTGACTATTTTTTGTCAGCCTTTTTATCGCCTTTTCATTTTGGTCTCAGCAAACGGCTCATCTGAGTTCAGGTAATTCTGCTCCACAGACCTAGTTTTGCTGTGCAAATCGGCTCCCTTTTCGATACGAAAATTCCAGCAGCAGGTGAGTCCAAATCGAGGACTATCAAGGCACCTGCTAGCAGACCAAAAGTATCCAAAGTGAGGGAATACTTTAAGGCAGCTGGTGGTTGAGCTGGTTGTACGCTCTGTAACGCTGCTTTCACACCGGAGGTGTTGTGGGAGTCAAAAATGCGCAGATGCAGAAATCTGGACGCTGGATCAAACTGGTCAGGTTGCTTTGATGCTTCGACGTTCTGGATGCTCGGCACTCTTTGTTTACCTACTCTGTTCTATAGCTTCAAACTAGAGAGCAGCTTGTCTTTATTTACTTGATGAGTTGGAAAAAATAGATTTAACACCTTTTTTCAGCAAGAAAGTTTTTTTTTTTTCATTAAGTAAATTTTAATTAATTACCTCTATATTTGATTTGGTCGGTTTGATAATTTCTCCTGGTTTGTGACTGATTTCTTGACTGAAATAGTTTTTCTTTTCTTTCGAGTCATAGGTCTTATATTTTATTCATAGTGGTTTCTGTGTTGGTGGAATCTGCTGAAAGTTGACCAACATGTGACCCACCTGCAGGTCTCTTCAACCTGCGGCAGATCGTTCTGGCCAAAGTGGATCAGGCGCTGCACACCAGAACCGGGCTGGATCCTGCTGAGGAGTACGGGCGCCTTTGCCAGGAGGTCTTGGGGATCCCAGCTTCACAGGGTAACAAAATAACACACATACACACACTAATGCGCCTTTTCACCAGAACCAACTCAGAGCAGTTCCGTTCCTTTAGTCTCAGAAAAATTTAAAACTTATCAGTTTTTCTTTCCATAAGTTTAAAGTATTCTGGCTGGAAATTGAAAATTCAGCAGGAAATCCTGACATAAAATGGGAGCAAAGAGCCGATTTTATCCCAGAAATATGAAGCTTCACTTAGGCTGAGTCTTGCACACAAGTAAATGAATGGAAAGTTTAGTGGAAGGAAAACCTGCCGCAGGTGTTATGAAGGTGAAGAGCTCTATGTTCTTAGTTACCAGACTTTTGTTGGACACCCACCCCATGTCTGGACCTGGTTTCCCACATAAACTCATGAGTCCTCATTTGTTAAAGTAAGTTTTATAACTGTGACATGTCCACTTTTACTCATTAGTCCTCCTGTTCTCTCCATCCTGCAGGAACCAACATGCCAGCCACCTTCGGACACCTGGCAGGCGGGTACGATGCTCAGTACTACGGTTATCTGTGGAGCGAGGTGTTCTCCATGGACATGTTCTACGCTCGCTTCAAAAAGGAGGGCATCATGAACCCAGAGGTAAGTTTCCCATCAGGCCATCAGACAATTCAGTTTTACATGAAGTCTGGCTGAGATTCTGTCTCCTGATCGGTCCTTCCAGGTGGGTCTGGACTACAGAAAGTTCATCCTGCAGCCTGGCGGCTCCGAGGACGCCTCCGAGATGCTGAGGAAGTTCCTCGGGCGGGAGCCCAAACAAGAAGCGTTCCTCCTGAGCAAAGGCCTGACGGTGGAGCTGGATGCCAGCACGCCCTGTCCCTGCTGACCAATCAGAGCAGCCCTGCCCCCAGTCTGAACTTTGGACTGACGTTTTCTAGAAAAACTGTAAAATGTTAAACAGATGGACCCAATGAATAAAAAGAATTGAAGTGATCATTGTCTGAAAATGTGTTTGATGTTTTGTAGAAACAGAACCGAACAAAGTGGTTTTTAAAGAACCAGGGGAGGAGCTTAACACCCAACATCTCCAGCAGGGATGATTTATTTTTACGGGTGGAAAGCTGCTTTACATCTGATCCATAGAGTTTAGATCATCTAAAAAAAAAAAAAAAAAAAGCAGGTTTGATTAAAAGAAGTAAAGAAACTAATCTGCTGGTCTTAGAGTACAACTTGCGCCGCTGTAGAGCACGGTCCTGTTGATGGCGACACAAACACAGTGAGAAGGTTCTGTGGAAGAGGTTTGAACAATTTTTTGATAAAGATAAAATCTACTGATGCAGTACAGAATAGCCCTGTGGTGTACAACATTCAAAATGCTTTACAGTGTAAAGTTTACACCAAATATATAATGGATGTAAACTTTAAAAATGGTTGGATATTTAGTTGTTAGATGCACTTCATAAGTTGATTATTAGTCCTGTTTCTATAGCCAATAAATAAATTTGAACTGAAATGAAATATTGGGTTTTACAGAAGAATGACATCTATGATCGTTGGAGTAAGGATAAGAGAGAATGAAGCCATTCTTTGGAATATTATCCCAACATTTATTCATCATTCAGGGCTTTAATTTAAATTTCACTTATTTAAAATGGAAATTATAATTTTTTTGTAAAATCAGAATTAGAACTTGATTACAACTGATAAATTGGTCATTTGTTGAAGTTGGTTTAATATTAAGCAGCTAAAAACATGGATCCTTTTTTAAGGTGCTGATTCTGCCACGTGCTTCCTGTTAGAGCAGAACAAAGATCAGAACATTTACCAGTGAAACTCTAGTCTTGCTTCAATTTTGGATCTCATAGCTAGGGGGCGCTGTAGATATGATCACTCGAGTTGTATTTGAACTGTAAAGATGTTTTGTTTTCTCAGCATGGTTGGTTCATGTTCTGTTATGTGCATTTAATGGATGGATCAGGATCCTTAAAGAAACACTTCTGAGGGGAACCTGTAAGCATGATTTAAACATGGCTGACCCACATGGTTCTATCTCAGCAGCTTTGGGTTTCATGGACATGAAGTCAACAGCAGAATAGCGCGAAGAGTTGTTCTGCAGGACTGTTTTAGCTGAACAGGTCTGAACGTTTCTTGTTCGTGGGAGTTCAGCAGGAGGTCCCAGGTGGATCTCTGCTCCAAATCAAAGACAAAACTTGTTTCCTTTTTATTTCCAGGTGTTAGATTTTATTCTTGCAGAGTTCTGAACAATCTGGAGGAGTTCCAACATTTACATCAGGGCCGGAAAAAAAAAAAACTACAAAAACAGATGAAAAGATGAAAAGAACCAACAACACAATTCTGACCGTTACAGTAAACTGACCTTCGACTGTGATCTTAGAGGATGTGCTTCAGTCAGGCTGGAACATCTGGATACAGCTGGGGTTGTTCCTGAGCTCCATCTATTTGTTCTGGGTTTAGAACTGAATGGTTCTTTAGGTCTAGCCATAAGTTCTTGACCAGACTGAGATCTGGGTTTTGACTAGGCCCCACCAGCTGTGGGTCCAGGGTTGTTGGTCCATGAACCGTCTGCTGTGTTGATGTTAACTAGGTCAGATTCTTCTCCAGGACTTTGCATCCATCTCAACCTCCAGATGATAGATGGAACATCTGAGGAGGGTGAGGATGTTCTCTAGAAGCAGAGAATTTTACTGATTCAGGGAGGCCTTAAAGAACTGGAGCTCATTCCCCATTTGGTTGCGAAAAATTTTGTTCGCTTTTTTAAAGTTTTTTGCTGTCAGATATTTGCTCAGCAGGTCCTTGTATTTTTCAGGTTTCCCACCCATGTTGTTCTTCTTCCAGGACCAGTAGGCGTTGCCGTAACCTATGTTTAGCTGGTTAGCGATCCAAACCCAGAGCCTGTTGCAGGGCAGCAGACTCACTGCAAACATGATGGGTTCCTCTTCCACCATGATCCTTTGGTATTCAGCCAGGTAGCCTTTCATGGCTTCGGTCACTTTGATTCCATCCACTCCCTGAAGATGGAAGAGGGAGACGTTAAACACTTTAATTTTGGACATAAGCATCCACTTGTGGTTCTGAAGAATCCTGGACATGGAAGTTATAGGAACATTTTAGTTGTTCTTATTACTCAGCAGGATCCAAAATGATCCACTGGGTTTCACTAAGGCCAGATCAGGACCAGCCTGTGTGTCACTGCCTGAAACTGAACGCACAACCTTTCAGTTTAACACATGACTACTCTTTCTCAGAAAGCCCCAGAAAATTAATCCCATCTCAGATTGTACCAGACCAATGCTAAGAACATGTTTAAAATCAGAATTCTACCAAAAGGGCAATAGTTCACTAAATGCTCTGAAGAACTGCTTGATTTAGAAAACCTCAGTATTTTGCACATATAAGAACCATGCTTCTCTGTTTTCTACTCCCTGAAAAAGAAAAAGAAAAAAAGGGACACTCATGTTTGTGCCAGCTGACCCTTTACCCCT